GTATTTGGTTTGTTTTTTTTTTTTTTTAATATAAATTTATTTATTTTTAGTTTTCAATATTCACTTCCACAAGTTTTTGAGTTCCAAATTTCTCACCCCTCCCCCACCCCAAGATGGCATGCATTCTGAATACCCCTTCCCCTGGCCTGCCTTCTCTTCTATCTCTCCCCCCTCCCTTCTCTTATCCCCTTCCCCTTCTATTTTCCTATAGAGCAGGATAGACTTCTGTACCCCATTTCCTGTATTTCTTATTTCCCAGTTGCATGTGAAAACATTTTTTTTAAACATGTGTTTTTAAAACTTTGAGTTCCGAATTTTCTTCCTTCCTCCCTCCCCACCCACCCTCATTGAAAAGGCAAGCAACTCAATATAGGTTGTACATGTGCAGTTATGCAAAACACTTCCTTAGTAGACATGTTGTGAAAAACTAACTCTATTTCCCTTAATCCTATCCTGCCCTCCCATTTATTCTATTCTTTCTTTTGACCCTGTCCCTCCTCAGAAGTATTTGCTTCTGATTACCCTCTTTCCCAATCTGCCCTCCTCTCTATCACCCCCCTGCTCTCTTGTCCCCTTCTCCCCCTATTTTCCTGTAGGGTAAGACAGATTTCCATACCCAATTGAATGTGTATGTTATTCTCTCCTTAAGCCAAATCCTATGAGAATAAGATTCCCTCATTCCCTCTCACCTTCCCCTGTTTCCCCTCCACTGTGAGAGACTTTTCTTTTCTGTTTTTTTTGTGAGATAATTTACCCCATTCTACCTCTCCCTTTCTTCTCCAAGTATCATCCTCTCTCATCCCTTAATTTTATTCTCCAGATATGACCCCTTAATCTTCAACTCACCCTGTGCCCTCTATCTATCTATATATACATACATACAATTTTTTTCCTTCAACTACCCTAATACTGACAAAGTTCTCATGAGTTACAAATATCATCTTTCCATGCAGGAATGTAAACAGTTCAATCTTAATAAGTCTCTTATGATTTCTCTTTCCTGTTTACCTCTTCATGTTCCACTGGAGTCCTGTATTTGAAAGTCAAATTTTCTGTTTAGCTCTGGTCTTTTCATCAGGAATGCTTGAAAGTCCTCTATTTCACTGAATGACCATTTTTTCCCCTGAAGGATTATACTCAGTTTTGCTGGGTAGGTGATTCTTGGTTGTAATCCTATCTCCTTTGCCCTCTGGAATATTATATTCCATGCCCTGCGGTCCTTTAATGTAGAAGCTGCTAAATCTTGTGTTATCCTGATTGTGTTTCCACAGTACTTGAATTGTTTCCTTCTGGCAGCTTGTAATATTTTCTCCTTGACCTGGGAACTCTGGAATTTGGCTACAATATTCCTAGGAGTTTTCCTTTGGGGATCTCTTTCAGGAGGAGATCTGTGGATTCTTTCAATTTCTATTTTGCCCTCTGGTTCTACTATATCAGGGCAGTTTTCCTTGATAATTTCTTGAAAGATGATGTCTAGGCTCTTTTTTGATCATGGCTTTCAGATAGTCCAATAATTTTAAATTCTCTCTCCTGGATCTATTTTCCAGGTCAGTTGTTTTTCCAATGAGATATTTCACATTGTTTTCTAATTTTTCATTCTTTTGGATTTGTTTTACAGTGTCTTGATTTCTCATAAAGTCACTGTCTTCCAATTGCTCTATTCTAATTTTTAAGGAAGTATTTTCTTCAGTAATCTTTTGGACTTCCTTTTCCATTTGGCCAATTTTTCTTTTTAGGGCATTTTTCTCCTCATTGGCTTTTTGGACCTTTTTGCCATTTGGGTTAGGCTATTTTTTAAGGTGTTATTTTCTTCAGTATTTTTTTGGGTCTCCTTTAGCAAGCTGTTGACTTGTTTTTCATGATTTTCTTGCATCACTCTCATTTCTCTTCCCAGTTTTTCCTCTACTTCCCTTACTTGCTTCTCAAAATCCCTTTTGAGCTCTTCCAAGGCCTGGGACTGATTCATATTTTTCTTGGAGGCTTTGGATGTAGGAGCTTTGATTTTGTTGTCTTCTTCTGGTTGTATATTTTGATCTTCTTTTTCACCAAAGTAAGATAATATAGTCTGACTCTTTTTGCGCTGCTTGCTCATGATCCCAGCCAATTACTTGAGTTTTAAACTCCTTGTTAAGGTAAGAGTCTGCTTCCAATGTGGAGAGTGTACTGTCCCAAGCTTCAGGGGTTTGTGTAGCTGTTTTCAGAGATACTTGTAGGGACCTGTAAATTTTCAGTTCTTCCAAGGTGGTATGATAAGGGGCGAGGTGTTTACTCCTTTCCTGGCCTGTGACCACAAGTATTCCTTTCTGTCCGTAACTGTGAGGAGGGGTTCCTCTCCACAGCCACTACAAGCTCCACCACACCAGCGCTCCTCCTCACCTCAGCATTGCCGCCCAGAACTGTGACCCAGATCCAAACATGGGCAAAGCAAGAGATTCCTGCCTCAGCACTGGCAAAAAGATCCCTGCAATCTCTCTCTGATCAGCCACTGGATTCCCCCTCAGTCTGTGGGCCAGAAGCTTGGGAATTAGCTGCACCCCCCCAGAGCCAGGCTCTTGGGGAATGGAGCTGAGACCCCGCCTTCCTCTCTGACCACCGACAGAAACAGACTTTTCCCACTGACCTTCTAAGTTGTCTTTGGCATTCGTGGATTGAGGAGTCTGGAAACCTCCACAGCTGCCCGCAATTCAGTCCTCTGAGGCCTGCTCCAGGTTTGCTGTGGCCTGCGTGCCCATGCTGAGCTGCGCTCCCAGCTTGGCGCATACACCTTTCTGATCGATCATCCAGGTTTTCTTGGGCTGGAAATTTGTTTCACTCTGTCTTTTTGTAGGTTCTGCTGCTTCAGAATTTGTTTAGAGCCATTTTTTATGAGTATTTGGAGGGGTTTGGGGGAGAGCTCAAGCAAGTCGCTGCTTTCACTCCGCCATCTTGGCTCTGCCAGTATGTGTTGCTAATGATAAAATTCAGACTTGCATGTGAAAAATAGAATTTTGGAAAACTTGTATCTGTCACCTTAAGCCTGACAGCTTCTAAATACTTAAAGCTTTTTTTTGATGAGATCAGTAGTGATATTAACAAGTGTGATTTTTTTTATACTGTATAATGAAATGTGCCACATTTAGAAGATATGTAAAATTCAGTGAAACAATATTTTCCAAATGACTAATTCATGATTTTATAGAATCATGCATGGGCAAAAGATCCATTCAAAGTGTACAAAACACAACAATGGATTATAATGTAACAGAGTATAAAAAGTTTGTAACTGTAGGTTCAGATTCTACATTGCAACTAAGCTTTAAGAAACTGCTGCTTGTATCAAAGAAGAATATCACAACTATCTGAAAATGCTATTAAAATACTCCTCTCCTTTCCAACCACATATCTGGAGGAGGCTGGATTTTCTTTACATACTTCAACCCAAACAACTCATCACAACAGATTGAATGTAGAACATATGAGAATACAGATGTCTTCTATTTAGCCAGACATTAGATATGTGCAAAAATATGTAAAATAATGCTATTTTTCTAACTTTTAATTTTAGAAATATAGTAATTTTTCATTATTTTTGTTAATGTGTGGTGGGTTTATTATTTTTATTTTAAATGAATTAATAAGTAAAGACTTTAAAATTTTATCAGCTTAATTTCTAATATGGTAAAAATTCGTATATATAATTCAAATAAACAAAAGCTCTTTGGGGTCCTCAGTGATTTTTAGAGTATAAAGAGTGTAAAGGGGTCCTGAGACCAAAAAAGTTTGAGAACTGCTGTTCAAGACTGATTTGGGGAATTAACAGACTGTCTAGCTGCCTAGTAACTATTAAAAATTACTTAATATTTCTCAGTTGGCCTCATGCATAGGTAGAGTGGGCAGCTGCTTGCATGGCATTTGCGCTCAAATATATTCTCTTGCCCCCAAAGCAGCCTTCTTGCTTGTTTGTCCTTGAGGACATAATATTAGAGTTTCATTCCCCTAGGTTAAGCCACTCCTGCTGACTTAAGGCATGTTCTTTGAAAATGTAAATAGTCTTAGTAGAAGTAATATATTAAATAATTATTTCCACCTTCACTTTTTGGAAAACTGTGTGGAATGTTCTTTCTTCTGTTGTGGGCAGGACTATGGTTGCAGGAGAGAGAATGGAATACAATGGCAATAACCTATATTTATTTTTGTGTGCTTGTTATTATCTTTCATTTAACTTATCTTTCAGTGAACAAGTATTTATTTTTTCTCCATCCCATTAAAAGAAAAATAGAAGTTTTATGGTAACCAATATGCACAACAACCTACATTCTAAAAGCACCTACTATGTGCAAGGCACTGTGTTGGACACTGGGAGTTTAAAAAGGTGTCAATCCTTGTCCTCAAGAAGCTTCAGGACTATTGAGGGATATGACATTCATGTAGATAAATTTTTTTGGGGGTCAATTTTAAATAGATTCTATTCTTCAGAACAAGAGAGGCATTTCCACTTGTTTACAGTATAGATAGAGTATAATGTTCACTTCTCCCCCTTTGCACACATTCAGTTTAGAATGCTTAGATTTACACAATAATTTAAATGTTGCTTTTAAACTTCCACTTTCTTGGCTACAAATTTCAGTCCTTCAGTTTTTGGAAAACTGTGTGGAATGTCTTTCTTTTATTGTTTTTAGTCAACTTCTTCAATGCTGAGTCCAGAAGAAGTACTTCCGGATGGAGCTGCTCCAGCCCCTGGGAACCCACCAGGCATGTCTCCTGGCATGCCTCCATTCTAGTATAGCTTGGAGTTGGGATTGCAGACCTTCTCCAGTTCTTTCTGCTGATGCTCAAATTCTGCCTTCTCAGCAGTCTGGTTCTAATCTAGCCAGTTGCTTACTTCATTACATTTGTCAAGGCTATTTATCTTTATCAATTTTGCTTTTGTTTCTCATTTTCTATTGTGGCCTTCATTTTATAAGCATAAGATTCAAGAGAGTTCTTAGAAGACCCCTTGTCTCTCTGCTTCTCATTTTCAGGCTTCTCTTTCTCAGCCTCCCGGACCATCTGCTCAATGTCTTCTTTGCTCAGACGACCTTTTTCACTGGTCATGGTGATCCTGTTCTCCTTGTCCATGCTCTTAGCCACGACACACTGAGGATGCCATTTGCATCAATATCAAATGTTGCCTTAATCTGAGGAACACCCTGGGGTCAGAAGGGATTCCTGTGAGCTCAAATTTGCCAAGTAGGTTGCCATTTTTTGTCATTGTAAATTGGCTGAAGGAGCAGTAAGTCTATGTAGGCAATAGGTCTGTGTCTCCTTGGGAGGCGTGGTGGTTGATTAGAATTGTTAAAACTCCACAAGCAGTTTCAATAACAAGGGAAAGGGGAGTGCCATCCAATAGGAGCAGGTCCTGAACATTCTCAGATTTATCTCCAGACAAAATGGCAGCCTGAATAGTTGAATCATGGGCAACAGCCTCATCAGGATTGCGATTCTTGTTGAACTTCTTGCTATTGAAGAAGTCCCGTAGAAGTTTCTGGATTTTAGGCATATGAGTGGAACCACTCACCAAGATAATGTCAATTTATCTAGTTTGATCCCTTAGGGTCTTTTCCACAGGGTCTAATGTGCCACAGAAGAGATCAACAATCAGCTTTTCAAAAGGGTCAGAAGTTATAGAGATATAGACATTGATACCTTTATAGAGGGATTGACCCTAGCCTGGTCCTGTAAGAGAGGGTACTCTTTGTACATTCATAAGTGGTGCACAGTTGGTGGACAGCCCTCTTGTTCTCACTGATGTCCTTGTACTTTCATCTGAACTCAGCAATGAAATGTTTGACCACTTAGTTGTCAAAGTCCTTCCGACCCAAAAGGGTGACCCTACCTGTAGATTTTACTTCAAAAATGCCCATTTTCAATGGTAAAATTGGAGACATTGAAAGTGCTACCTCCGATGTCAAAGATCAACATATTTCTGTTAGTACTGACCTTTTTGTCCAAGCCATAAGCAATAGCAGGAGAGTTGGCTCATTGATGATTCAGAACACATGGAGACTAGTGATGGCTCCAGCATCTTTGGTGGCCTGCTGTTGGAAATTGTTGAAGTAGGCTGGCACTAAGATGACAGTATTCCCAAGGTAAGCTTCGTCAATTTCATCTTGGTCAAGACCATAGAAGATATTTCTTCTTGGTCTCTCTTTTGTACTCCACTTGGACCTTAGGCTTGTCTACATCATTCACCACCATGAAAGGTCAATGCTTCATGACCAAGTGGCATCATAAACTCTGCAAACAATCAGACATCTGGTATCAAAGACTGTACTGAGGGTGTTCATTGCAACTTGATCGTTTGCAGCAGCATCACCAATTAAACATTCTATATTGGTGAAGGCAACATAGCTTGGAGTCGTCCTTTTTCCTTGGTCATTAGCAATGATCTCCATTTTTTCATGTTGGAAGACTCCCGCACAGGAAGAAGAATACATTAGAATGTAAGCTCTGGGAGAGCAGGGATTAATTTTGCTTTTTTTTTTTGTATTCCCAGCATTTAGTACAGTTTCTGGCAAATAAATCAATGCTTTTTGATTGATTAAAAAGTCTAAGGTACTGGAAAGCCACTTGTGTTTAATGGCATGTCAATAAGAATACTGAAATCAGGAAAGATAAAGATAGTGTAATGGGCTGGGGAAATAGACTATAAGCCAAGTATTGAATTGAGAAAGGAATGGGAGTGACTTGGAGGTGCACAGATGAGAGCAGCAAGGATCCATTGGGCGATGTAAAATTCAAGGGAGGCAAGACTGCTGAGTGATAGTGGAAGAGAAAGAGTCTGGAACCAACTGTGAGAAGAAACACAACCATTCTTCCACCTGATCGAGTGTATTGGAGAGTTTGAGGCAAAGTGCTCTCAGTACTGGAGAGCATGGCAAAGGTATACAGTATGTTCTGGAGGGAACCATATTTCTACAGTGAGTCCATTAGAAAGAGAGATGCAGGGGCAACCGAATGGCACAGTGGACAGAGCACTAGTCCTGGAGTCAGGAGGACCTGAGTTCAAATCCAGCCTCAGATGCTTACTAACTGTGTGACCCTGGGCAAGTCATTTAATCCCAATTGCCTTCAAAAAGGAAAGAAAGGAAAAGATATATAGGATGAAGGGAAAGTTAGCAACAAAAATCAGGGTTTCCAGAGGAAAGAGTGGGAGGGTAGAGGAAGATAGGGATTACAAAACAGCTGAGCTGGATAGGGCTAACAGTGCATGTATCAAGAGCTGAAGGGAACTTCAGGGGCCATGTGGTCCCACCTCTCCATTTTGTATATAAGAAAACTGAGGCCCAGAGGGTTTAAGTGACTGCCCAATGTCCCAAACACAGTAAATGTGAGAGGTAAGACTTGAGTTTGTTTTCTGGATCCAGAGACATGATTTTTTCACTCTAGTACATTATTTTCACTTCCCCAGATGATGAAGGAATCACAGGGATCAGAGAAGCAAGAGGTAGGAACTTGCTAGCCCTTTGACAGTGGCAGCATCAAATATGGAGAAGTTTGTAGACTTATTATTCTCAGGGTTCTAATTAGAATATTGGTGGGAAGGGACCTCTGTCCCTGGTGTCTCTCAGGTGGAATTCCCTATTTGTTTAGAGCAAAGGGTAGGGGTGCTGAAGGAAATGGAAGGATGACAAAGGAGGCTATTGATTCTTCTGTCTTTCTCTATTATTGTCCTGGCGGTAGACCAGGGCTAGGAGTCAAATGGAATGGAAGAAGCAAAGCCTCTACTTTTCATTAGACAATCAAGTAGTATTCGCCCAGGGGCAGCTTCAGGTATCCAGATCCCTTGTAGAGCAGGTGACATACCCCAGAATGTCAGCTCTGCTCACTGTACCCTCCAGAGATAACCAGAAGAGAAAAAGAAGGCTAGCCAAAGACAAACTTTATCTACTATACGATTTGGTATGCCGCTGGCACTAATAATTTGTCATGGGCAGCCAGGTGATGCAGTGGACAGAACGTTGGGCTTGGAAACAGGAAGACCTGAGTTTAAATGTGACCTCAGATACTTACTAGCTGTTTGACCCTGAGCAAGTCACATAACTCTGTTTGCCTCAGTTTTCTCGTCTGTAAAATGAATTAGAGAAGGAAATGGAAAACCACTTCAGTACCTTTGCCAAGAGAATCCCAAATGAGGTCATGAAGAGTCAGATGTGACTGAAATGATTGAACAGCAACAGTAATTATAATACTTATTCATACGTATTCACAGAATTAGGTCACTTAGTCCGACACCCTCATTTTCCAGATGAAGAAACTGAGGCCTACAGCGAGGGAGTGACTTGTGCATGATTCCACAGGTAATCTATAGCAGCCCAGGGATTCACTCGAAGGTTCTCCAATTTCCAAAAGCTAGAGTGTTGCCCCATATGCTACAACTTTACTGCCTGCATTACTTCTCAGAGAACATTTAGCCCAACAATTGCAGTCTTATAGATGCAAAAGATGAGATGAAGAGAGGTCAAGGGATTTGCTCAAGGTCACACAGTATGACTAGAGGTCCTTTTTTTTTCTTTCTTATTCTCAGCCTTGTGGTCTTTAATATTAAAGTTACCACATTAGAACATCAGAGTGTCTTAAGGCTTACATAGTTCTTACCTAATAGCAATTCTATAAGGAAGGTAATGAAAATATTATCCTCATTTTACAGATAAGGAAACTGACACTCAGTGAGTTAAATGACTTTCCCAAGTTCATGTTTGAGGTCAATTCCTCCCATTTCAGATCCAATGGTCTTTCCATTCTATCTTGCTAGGAGGGCAGCACCACATTTGGGTATACTTGAGCCCTAACTTGAAGACCCTCCAGCCAAATACTTATGTTTTCATGTACCCTGTAACAACTCTCAGCATCCCTGACCTATAAAATTCCTGTGTGCACCCCTGTGTCCCACTGAGGCACTCACACTATGTTGCCTCTTCAAAAAAGTGGGTCAGAACTTTTGCACGCAGCTAACTAAAAAAAAAAAATGCATCCAAGGCCAGAGTAGGATAAACTCTCATGTCCTTCTTCTATCCCTGCTGTCTGCTGAAAAGAGACAACACAGCATTGCCTTGAAAGTGTCACGAGTGTTGATGTGGTCACTGCCACATGGCAGTGCCTGAAGGTCTTAAATCTAATGTTACTCAACAGCGGGCCTGGAAGTCTGCTTCCCTTGGGTAATAAAAACCATTACCTGACTGTTTAAACATCCCAACTTTCCTCCCTATTTCACAGTTCATAAAGCACCTTTATGATGTGGAGGGACTTTTTTTAAAGGAAGATATAAGAGCGTGGTGTTTTTTTTCTTTCCCCTCCCTCGATTGCTTATTACTTCCCACAAGCCATGAACTAGTGATATTGGAACATTGTTGTTCTAATTGACCACTTCTATTAGGATGCCAACGCACTGGGCCTTGTCCTGACCCAACCCCCACCACCTCTTTTCTTTTCTTCCATGATCTCGCTGTGTGCCTGGCATCAGCACTGCTGGGGCTGAGGTTAATGCATACACCGTACAACTCATTAACCGCACATTAGTATCAGAGCCAAGAATCAACATGATTGATCCAACAATATGTTTGGGCTTGGGTCAGAGTCTCAGCTGAGGACTCATCGAAAGCAAAGGTCAGCAGCCTGGCACCGGCATGAACACATTTCTTTCAAACTAGCCATTGGGGAAGGTGACTAATATGGATCCTCATTAAAAATTGAGGAGAGGAAAAAATCCTTTGGAGTCTCCAGTGAGCCTCCACTGTGATCAATTTGCTTTTCAATCCTTGTGAAGAGTTTATATGGCTTGTCACCAAGACAGCAGAGGGCCGTAAGTCAGAATGCCATAATCATATTTCCAGGAATCAAATAGCGCTTGGTTGGTATCTAAGGGAGCTGAGTGACTTTGTGAGCAGAGATAATTTCATAGGGACTGGAGAAGAGCCCTTAACTCCAAATGTTTTCTGTCAAGGGAACAACGTAAGCCAGTTCTGGTTTTATGAGAAAGATGATATGAACAAATTTTTAAAAAGAGCCAATTTCTTACTTAGCCATTAAATGAATCGCAACAGTCATTCAATCAATCAACAAAGATTTATTAAATGCCTGTGCTGCAGGTTGGAGAGAATACAGTTTGGATATTACAGGAGCAATTGAAGCCCTGAGCAGAGAGGAAATGGACCTCTGTCCTTTTATTGGAGAGGTGGGGGACTATGGATGCGGAATGTTGCATATCAGTTGTCTTTGTTTGACTATTTTGAGAGAAGGTGGAATGGGTGTGGGTGGAGATAGGTGTGTGGAAGGAATGGGGAATAGGAGGAAAAGGAGGAAGAAAAAGAAGAAGATGGAGGAGAAGGAAGGAAGGAAGACAAATCTTAGATAAAACGAGTTCCCAGCAAGGAGATAAGACTCCAACACAGAAAAAATTATGATAAATAATATTGTTTGATAAGTTCACTGGAGAGTTCAAAATAATATGTTTTATTAGTCCTAAGAGGCAAGGTTGATACAGAACAACGGGGGGGGGGGGGGTGCTTCTTGGACAATGCAGAATTTAACAAGGGCTTTACATTTAAATGAGATTTCAGCAAATGTAGAAAGAGAGCAAGTACTCTAGGCAGAGTGAAAGAGCCCAAGCAAAGGTATTCGGGGAAAGTGCAGGTGTGTGCTTAGGGAGGCAGAGATTTGTCCACTTGGATCAGAATATAGTGTGCGAAGTGAACAAAGGCGAGTAAAGACATTGTAGAGGTACAGGCTTGCTGACTCCCACATACCTTTCCGATCTCATTTCAAATTATTCCCCTTTTAAGTACTCTCAGTTCCTGTCAGATGGGTTTGCTAGCTATCTATCTACTTTCTAGCTGCCTTAATGAAAGTGATTCCCCAGGTCTGGAGAACACACTCTCTTCACCTCTGCCTTGTGCGCATTGGTATCTCCCCAACATAACGTAAACTTCTCAGGGGCATAGATATAGAGCTGTAAGAGGCCTTAGAGGCCACTGAGTCCAATTCTCATTTTCCAGATGAGGAAACTGAGGGTACAGTGAGGGCATGATTTATGCAAGATCGTACAGCTAACATCTGAGGCAGAATTTGAATTCAGGTCTTCTTAATGCTAAACCTAGCAATTTATTCCCCATACCACTGACAACCCCATCCAGCTGCCTCCCTTGAGGGAAGGGTTTGGGCTTTGTATCCTTTGTACCAAGCATATTGCCTTGCATGTAGTTGATACTT